TTTGATCGAAGTGTGATAATTTCTGAGCTACCTATCTTGAACTTTGAAAAAATAAGGATTTTTTAGTTTCCGCTCATTATCTACCAAACAGTTATACACTTTCAACTCAAATTTGACATGATATGTCTTAGGAATAAAAAGGCAAAGTATAAAATGGGTCATTGTTCGATGATTTTGGACAACGTTATCTCCCTTGAACGTTAGAAAAAATAAAGGTTAAGTTTCCGCACTCTTACTTTTGTGGAAACGTATGTTGTCATTTTCTCGGCTACAAATATGCAATATGCAATTTGCAAACGGTTAACACTAAATACTTTCATGGCCTTCAACTTTGTATAACAATAGTTTGTGTTTACATTAGATAGTTGAAAAGCTTTAAACATAGAATGAAAAAAAGTTTGTACAAACAATTTTGGAACTAAATAGTGATATATCATTTTCAAGTTTGGGTGCATGCATGGGCATCCTTGGCGTGACGACACATTTCTGTTTTTTCTTTTTTCTTCTTTAGCGTTTAAATGTAAGTGATATAATGGATCATAGTCGCACATATAATAAATTATATATGTGTGATTGAAAGTGCATAATTATAACTTACATCTTACCAATTCGCAACTATTAGTCATCTTTGAGAAATAACCGAGCACGCATTCCTCTTTATTGCCTCAATATAAGGCCACGTAATTTATTTACAAATGATATACGTTCAAAAGTCAAGCTACTATTTTTATTTTCATTAACACGTAACCTTCATCATGAATAGATGTAGGTTTCAAATACTTCTCCGTCTATGACAATGTTGTTAGTGTTTCGTTTTGTTTGTTTGTTCTTTATTGTTGTTGTTGTTTTTAATGTTTTCATAATTTCCTGAATGCAGTGCGGAACTTTTTATGTATATTTTTTAGAGGCAATTGAAAGAGATGGAAATGTTCCCTTGCATAAACTAATGGAAGACTTAGGAGGTCTTCCAGTGTTGGGATCAGCATCAGGTGGAAAATGGAATCAAAATGCTTACTCTTTCGAGGATCTCATCGTCACGTCTTTTCGAGTGACAGATTCCGTACCGATACTTTATGTTCATTTAGATGATGTTCGTTTGGTCGGCCAAGAAAAATACCGTCTTAACGTAAGTCATTTATTATAATGTTTACCTGTTGACGACAAGTCATTATTTGTGCGTTAGCGATTAAAGAGCTTGAATTCTGATCTTTTCCGTTATTCATTAAATATGCAAAAAATATCCAAACAAACCATTTACACTCGCAAAATGATATTTGGTTTGATAACATTTCGCAGTATTTGATAAAGAACCTATTTATAACAATACGCATAAAGCTTACATACTTAGGGACTCTATTGAATGAATGGGGATTCCATTGATTGAACATGGACGATTGGTAAAAAATGCTAACCTCAAACAATTTACTCCTAACTGGTGCGAGTTCCGCCAGAAATATTGCATTATTTCATATAAGAAAATTATCTGAAATAATTGTTTGCAATACAGTAGGAAAGTCGCCATATGGTATTGATATTGAACGGTACCCTTAAGAGTTTGCGAATTTTTTAATTGGCATGATTGTTTTGCCAGTATATCTGTCGACAATATGGAAAACGCCATTTGTTCTCGATATTGTGAAAATAACCTTCTCAGTATTGGTTTTCCGAAGGGGTATAATTAAAACCCCATCGCTTTCAAAAATGTGAAAGCTTGCCGATAATTAGCTGTGTGAAAGGTCACCGGAAACAAGTTCGTATTTGGTCACGTTTAGATCTACAAGCGGGGCGTTATTCAGAGCTGATTTTTATTACATTGAGTGCATAAGTATTATGTATGGCAGTCAAATTACTACTTTGTTTACATTTTGCTACCTTTAAAATATTACTGCACATTCACCGCTACAGTTTTTCAGTCGTTAAACATGTAGCTTGACCTAATTCAATTATTTAAACAGTCTAATACACATGTTTGACATATCTTTAGTATTGACAAATATAGAATTTTGAGGCATACTCTGCCTTTTAAGCTACTAATCCACGCTTTGTAGTAGGACGTTTATAAAATATAATGTAATCAAAAGATAACATTTCACCACAGGTTACTACATTTTTATCGATATATTAGATGATTTATATATGACTTGCCCGACAAAAAAAGCATACAACTAAAGTTTTTTTAATTGTTTATGACGCTGTCAATTTAAATCGTTGCCACTTTTTATTTTGTACATTTTGACTTATTTCAAACACAACCGTTAACTGGTTGCAAGTAGTTCCGCTGATTGCGGGTAGAACAGTTGTGGGCTTGCTAAGTTTCTTATCCTACAATCGATTGCTGCATAATATATCTTAAACTAGAACTGTGTCCAAAGGACACGGATGCCCCCACTGACAACATATATATGGTATATATTGAAAAAATCAATAAATGACCATAATTCTGTTAAATTTGGTCGCAGCAAAAATTCCTTCCTTTACTACCATCTTTACATTAAGGTTGTTCATCCCTGGAAGTTTAAGCAAAATCTGCCATCCGGTTTAAGAGGAGTTGTGTTCACAAAATTTCTACATAGTATATAGTGAAAAAATCAACATAGGGCCATAATTCTGTTAAATTTGGTCGCATCAAAAATTTCTTCCTTTGCTATCATCTACACATTAAGGTTGTCCATCCCTGAAAGTTTAAGCAAAATCTGCCATCCGGTTTAAGAGGAGTTGTGTTCACAAAATTTCTGTATGGTATATAGTAAAAAAATCAACAAAGGGCCATAATTCTGTTAAATTTGGTCGCAGCAAAAATTCCTTCCTTTACTGCCATCTACACATTAAGGTTGTTCATCCCTGGAAGTTTAAGCAAAATCTGCAATCCGGTTTAAGAGGAGTTGCATTCACAAAATTTCTATATGGTATATAGTGAAAAAATCAACAAAGGGTCATAATTTTGTTAAATTTGGTCGCAGCAAAAATTCATTCCTTTACTACCATCTACACATTAAGGTTGTTCATCCCTGGAAGTTTAAGCAAAATCTGCCATCCGGTTTAAGAGGAGTTGCGTTCACAAAATTTCTACATAGTATATAGTGAACAAATCAACAAAGGGCCATAATTCTAATAAATTTGGTCGCAGCGAAAATCCCTTCCTTTACTGCCATCTACACATTAAGGTTGTTCATCCCTGGAAGTTTAAGCAAAATCTGCCATCCGGTTTAAGAGGAGTTGCGTTCACAAGATTTCGGGACGTACGGACAGACGGACAGACGTACGGACGGACAAGTGCAACGCTTTATGCTCCCACTCTGTGGGGGCATAAAAATTATGTCCATAAAACAGACTATAAAAGAACATAATTATTTAGGTAATCCGGTTAAAAACTGGCATTTATCTTGTAAGTCCTAACTGCACCAAGCTGTCCATCACGCTACATGTTCACGGGTGTGATAAAATGGTTGCTTATATATGTGCCAAGTGAAACATTATAACCGTAAGGTCACATATATCTTGTGAAAACTGTAATTTTAACTTCTATGCAGATTTAATATATTTTAACAAATTTGTTGCTGTTTTAGACCAATTTTGTGTAAGAGAGTATTAAGAAATTAAATCGGCCTGGGCGGTGTTGATAACAACGGTTTTGAGTTACAATGCGTACGAATTGACCAAGAATACCGTAAGCCGTGCATACATGTATTGCCAAAATCACGAGGAGAGTTAGAGTAGATGTTTCAAAATTATCATTTCTCAAATAGTTATTCGTCGTCATTGTTGATGGTTTTGTTTTTAAAGAGTAAGCGTGTTTATGTTGAACAATTCAACAAAAACACGACGAATAACGTTAGGAATGGCAATAAAAAATCTTGCTAAAAAAAAATCGCGAAGTAACCGACATCATTACCACAGCGGATGATCACGTGACCGAAATCGTACAATGCGATCATAAAATGGCGGCCTGAAAATAAATAAAATAATAAATAAATAAATAAATAATAATAAATAAAAATAAGCATACAGTTAGCGTTAAATTCATACGGCCCGGAAACCCTGTATACATCCAAGTACTGTTCTGTTATTGGTTATTTTGTAGCTCTCTCTGTTTAGGACTGAAAGCCGAAAAAGTTAGTTTTTTTTTAAAATGCACAACTTTGTTATGCAAATTAACAAAGGATGGAAATTGTTCATGATGGGCAAATTTTTACTGAAAACAACGCATTTTAAATAGTACCTGTTTGCCCATTGTACTCATCACTCAAACAGGCCGCCATTTTATAAGCCCATTGTACGATTTTGGTCACGTGATTATCCGCAGTGATTACCATAAACCAACTATCCAGGATAAATTTTTATCCCTTGAAAAGTGCCGTCAGTCCCGTACCGTATTTGTACGGAGAACAAGCAAACTCTACATTTTCTTTATTGTCCATTATGTTTTTCATTTGAAGTATTGTTTATCACAAATGTACATTTGTTATTATTTTGTTCTCATGTATTGACTAGTTTGATCAACCGAGTCTGAATCTACCCCGACAACTTTATCTTCAAGGAAAGGAAGACCCGGCTTTATTGGCACTCAAAACGTATTACTTAGAGCTATTTCAAGCGTTTGGGGCAAATGAATCCGCAGCTGCAGAATTCGCTGAAAATACCTTAGATCTTGAAATTGACCTTGCAAACGTAAGTTAACATTATAAATGAAAAAGATAATTTACATAACAGTTACGTATTTAATAATAAGCATCTATACTAAGGTCAGTAACTAATTATTATCAATTGTATATCATTGCACTGCATTTCACAATGATTGAATTTGTCTGTTTATTAATCGTCAACAGCGCAATTATCATTGTAAATGATATGAATATAATTATATTATGTTTTCTAATTTTATTATGCCAAAACGTGTTTCAGACGCCAATTATAACTACAGGTCGTTAAATTGGTAGCTTGTTTGACAACTGTAAACCTTTTTATCTTACATTTTAATAATTATGCAAATTTTACTTATTATCAATTATACGCGGAATAAATTTTACAAGCACTTTTTTAAATGAAACTGAATAATTTCGAAAGTGTACTTCATATTCGCATCAATGACATGTAACTGAAAAATTCAGAATAGTGGTGTTGGTATTTTCACTTTGCATCCCGGCAGTTAACGACCGTCAATTTACCAAACACTGTTCAGTCACCTCGTCGTTCCTGGACAGGCTGTCAAGAAATTTACCAGTAGAAATTGCCTTCACTTTTGCATGACACTTTTGCATGACACCTCCGTACATACCAGAGCAGAGGTAGAGTGCGAATTACAATAACAAAGATGATCAATCATCAATGAAAGTGATATGTACCATATGTGAAACGAAACCGAGTCGCCCAATTCACAATCCAACGCTCTACCTATTGAGCTTACCGGACAGTTTAGAAATTTAGAGTATAAGAAAGTAGCTATATTTTATTTCATCCAAATACCTTCAGATAAGTTCGGACGATCCGTACAAATCGTCGGTTATAAAAATTGTTCCCGTCAGCAGCCTTCAGGAATTTGGAGCCACGGTAGGAATATTTTGTTTTTAGGCTATAATTATAAATAACATTAACATACTGTTTGCAATTTTTATTAAGCTGGTGTACTTTTATTTTATTTATCTTTTTTTAGAAGTGGTATAATGTGCAACTCCTGTGATGTTTATATTTTACTTGAATTTAAGTTACAATGATATTGTTAATGTCTTGTGGTTGCTTACGAGCTACGTAAGGGAGATAATACATCAAGTATCATTTAATTTATCATAATATACAAACCTACTTTTGTATATTCACATACTTACTCGTCTTGATTGAACTTACATTTGAGAATTGGTTAGTGTTTCATTACCTCCTTCTACTGCCATTTTGTCAACCTGTTCAGGGTTGTTTTTTTTGTAAAAGACTTTCAGACTCGGATATGTTTTGATTTTAAGTAAAACATTTTATGTCAATTTTTCCTGTCTTTTCGACCGCTGTGTGTTGAATCTTGAAGAAATTCTATACATTTTGTATTGTTATGATAATATTTTTCTCACAAGAACAAAACACATATTTACATTCAAGGTGAATTTTTCGCAAATTGTTGAGGGTATTTATCAAGTTGGTGGATTTTCCTTGCAAGCTTCTGATGTAGTCACCATATTTTCAATTGACTATTTCAAAAACACCGCCACTGTGCTCAATAAACACTCAAACAGGTAAGCATTTGAAAAATAAAATAATTGGGCGCGAGGGATGGGGATGGGGTTTGAAAAGTACTATATTTTAGATCAAACATCTCATATACAGGTCATTCTTTTAATAATTCTTGTATTGAATAAAAGCAAATAAACGCGATGTACACATATAAAAACAGGACGGTAGAGAAAGTTTTTCCTTAAGACTTAGTATGATTGTCGTCATTTGAGCCAAATAAACATGTCCTATTTTTTCAAAAACTAATGGTGATACACTTTACTCATCAAATTTATTTTACAACCCAAAAAACAAGAACCGATTGAACCGGGTGATGGTCCCCGAGTAAGCTTTAGATGCAGAAAAATATACATCTTGACGTGTCAGAGTAATGTCCCTGACAAATTTCAAAGTGTAAAAATAATCAAAGGGCAATGCCGCTAACATTAAGCAAGACAGAGTTAAGGTCCTGTTGCGCTGCACTTAAATGAGATCAATCTACCTACAAACCTCTTATGGTTTCAGAGCTATGTCTCGAACAAAATTCAAAGTGAAAAAATTACCAAAGGGCAATCACTCCACAATTAGGCAAGACTGAGTTATGGCTCTTTTTTACTGCAAATCTATTTAATGATATCTGTCTACATGCAAAGTTTCATGTTGATATCTTTTATAGTTTAAGAGTTATGTCCCGATAAAATTCAAACTGTGAATATGAACAAAGGGCAAAAACTCAAAGATTAGGCAAGACAGAGTTATGGTTTTTCAGCATTGCTCTTCCAATCAGTAAGATCTATTTACCTACAGAAATTGATGTTAATATCTCTTATAGGTTTAGAATCATGTCTGGGGCAAAGTTCAAAGTGTACAAGTGCACAAAGGACAATATCTTAAAAATTAGATAAGATAGAGTTTATGGTTCTGTTACCCTGCAGTTTTACACAATTATATGTATCTACCTATAAAATTTCATGTTGATATCTCTTATAGTTTAAGAGTTATGTCCAGAACAAAGTTCAAACTGTAAATATGAACAAAGGGCAATAACTCAAAAAAAAGGCAACACAAAGTTATGTTTTTTTAGGGTTGAACTACATGTATCTATCAATGAGATCTGTCTACCTACAAAGTTTCATGTTGATATCTCTCATATTTCTAGAGTTATGACAATATTTAATTTGTAAAAATAAACAAAAGGCAATAACTCCAAAATAATGCATAGTGAAGACAGAGTTATAGTTATTTAGTAATGCACTTCAACAAACTGAGATTTATCTACCTACAAAGTTTCATGTTGATATCTCCTATAGTTTTAGAGTTATGTCCCGAACAATGTTCAAAGTTTAAAAATAAACAAAGGGCAATAGTTCCAAAATTACACAAGGCAGAGTCACGATTTTTTTGCACTGCACATCTACTCAATTAGATTTATCTACATACAAAGTAACCTCTTGTTGTTTAAAAGTTATGTCCTGGACAATAATAGCGGACGGACGGGCGGACAAAGCGGCGACAATATGCTCACCCTTTGGGGAGCATAATATGCTCTAAAAACAGTTTAGCACAGAGTGTGTATAGAATGCAATAAGATAATATCAATAAGCAATTTAATATTTATTCTTTCAGTGTTATTGCTAATTATATTGTGACCAAGGTTGTTATGACACAAGTTAACTTTCTGCCACAAATCTATACAGATATTACTGAGCGATTTCTAGCAGTAAGTGGAATTTATTCTATATTTTATTTGGAGTAGAAAATTGTTGTGCATTATCTTTCATTGCATTATATTTTATAATTAAATTAACATTTTTATTTAAGCTCGATAGCGAAACAACTTCTTGCAAATTAAATTAATCACTTTCGAGTGCGCTTCAGTACTGGTGTCATATGAAGAAACATGGTCGTGACTGAGTAGTAATATATAATTATGCATTTTGATCAAATAACAGCACTTTATTTTACAGGCTACTGGACAGGCCATTAACTCTGCCACAACTAGACTTGAATATTGTGTTAATATGTTGAGAGATAGGATGCCTGACGTTATAACTCGACTCTTCGCAAAGGAAGCCTTTCTTGAAAAAGACCGACGTTACGCAAGACATTACATTTATCATTTTTCTCAATTATTAGCAAAAAATGTGTTTTTTACAAGAAATACGTAATAGAGTTAAGTAATGAATCGAATTACAGGCATAACATGAATACCAATCAAACCGAGCGCAAACATTATGATATTAACATGTGATTCGATTAATTCCAATTATCGAAAAACATATACATATTTATTTACAATACAGAATTCAGTTATGATGTAAATTAAACAGTCAAACTAATGAGATGTAAATAGAAACTGTTAATATCTTATCAAACAGTCATATAATTATATAGATCAAAGCAAACAAATAATTTGCCTGGGTCAGCACATTCATAGAACTAGTCTTTGCAAGAAATATGCATTAAAAATTATCAAACAATTTCATAATTACAGGTCTTGGAGCTGGTAGAGGATTTGAAGAAATCCTTTAAGAAAATTATAGATGCGACCAAGTGGATGTCAAAATTCACCAAGCGTGCTTCAAAAGAAAAGGTGAAATAGTTGTTATCTCAAACATTAGACAGAAAGGTTTCATAATTTGCAGGGATATTTATAGATTGGTAGTTGTGAGCATAACAAAAACAACATTTTTATAACAATACCTAAAAATTTGGCAATTGCATGTAAGTGTCATTCTGGACAACAAATTAACATTGTTATAATGATTTTATTGTCTTGGCTTTTTAAATCAAAGAGTAATGAAAAAAGAAGGCGAACAGTGTTGGATTTCATTTGCTCTGGCATTGCATTCCTCTAATATCTTGAAAATGTGCAAGGAGACATATGCATGGCTGTTTGTATAATTAATAGTAACAGGAGTTTAAATTGTTTGAATTTTTTCTTTATGTTATGCTATATAGTTAGATATCTAATGCAATTTTAATAATTATTCCTGAACAGGTTGATAAAATGGGAGTGGAAGTAGGATACCCAGAAGAAATATATAACGATGCGCTTTTAAACTTGGTTCATAAGCAAGTAAGTATTTCACGATTTCTAAAATACTATTTGATGTCGATGCATTGTAAAGCCTGCATTAGCTATGTTTTTGAGCTCACCTGATCACAAAATGCTCAAGGTGAGCTTTTGTAATCCCGATTAAATCAGCGTTCTTGCATCCGTGCGTCAGTGAGTCCGCCGTCGTCATTTTTTTAACGACTTCTCACGAATTTTTTCTGCGATGTTCTAAGAATAACGCTATAGTAAAATTGTTCAAATTGTAAATGTTTCATTAAATATTTTGGTTAAAAGGGTTAACATAGCTTTAAAGAATTAAATCTTGTAAACAAAACTCTTCTCTGAAAGTGCAATGTCCAGAGCTTATATAGTATGGGTCAGGCAACATGTAATCAAATCTTATAAACATCGTTCAAATTATTGCCTTCGGGTAAAAATTGTCACCGCCCTGAATGATCATGGCTTTTCATAATACAGTAAACCTTTGATGCTTGAAAACTGCAAGGGTCATATTCAAAACAATTAGCATGAAGGTTTTTTACTTCACAATGCACAAAAATATTAAAATTATAGCCCGTGTGTATAATTTGCCCCGCCTTTGGGATCATGCGTTTTCTTTACACGTTTATATCAAATACTCGGAAAACAAATCTTCTTCTCAAAAATTATGAAACATTTTCAGGTAGACTTCTACCAAGTTTGTTTAAATCATAGCACTTGGTTCTTAATTGGCCCCTACCTTGGGTGGTCACTGATTTTCCTTTTACATTTTATGTATATAGAAGAGCATCTTTCTCTTTTTAAAGCTTAAATTGATTTAAGAAGAATTAAACATGTCTAATGGACCTCTACCAAGTTTGTTCAAATTTTTAGCCCAGCGGTCTAAATTTGCCCTGATTGTCATGGATTTCCCTTATATTTATATAAACAGTACAAACATGAAAATTGCTTCTTCTCTATAACCAATGAAGGCTACAGCTAACATCTTTGGAATTGAAACATTGTCTAGTGGACCTCTGTATAGTTGATTCAAAATATCCATGGGGTCCTAATTGGCCAATCCCCAATGGGTCATGGATGTTCATTATATGTATTTTGAAAAAAAATGGCTTAGATAAATATCATGAAACCAAGTTTGTTAAAATTATAGTCATGAGTTATAACACTCAGTGATATTTTCTATAGTAGTCCCGAACTTTTCTTTGCAGCAAGTGATTAAAACACTTTAAATTTCCATTGCAACAAGTGCCTTCCGCAGCAACCATTGACTTTCAATAGCAACCAGGGCATTGCGTGAAAAAACATGATATTGTTGACCTCTGACACTTCTGTTAGAATTATATCTCTGAGGCTAAATCAAATTCTCCTAGAAGGGGATCATGAATTGTCCTTATATGTATATCAGTCAGTCAGGTGAGCAATGTAAGGACCATCATCGCCCTCTTGTTTTAGAAAACAGTGGCATGTGTTCAATACACATCTGAACAGATTCAACAATTTTATGATAATAAGGCATGTGCAACAAATACGTTTCAGAACGAGATATTATATCAAGTTTTAATTTATGTTGCTTATCTACGTGTCGATTGTTGTAAGACAGGACAAAACTAACTTATTCATTTTTTATAGTTTTCCATTACCTCTGGGAGTCCATTCACAACAGCCGTTAGCATGTCTAAAGCAGAAATGGTCCGCGAAGCACAATTACTGCGGGAACCCGTTTTTGATGATCCGTAAGCTGTTTAAATGTTTATATATTATATCTAATATCATATAACAATAGCTTAAATTAGGTAAACAAATGCAGTGCATCATACTCTTTGTGAAAACGTTCCGATCGTTTTAAAATATTATTAAAAAAGATTTGTCACCAAATGTTAGAAAATTGTTTACATACGTACTTGAATATTATGTGTAACGCTTTTTATGCTTGTTTGTTCATGATTTTCATTTTTTTTTCGACCGTTTTAATTAACCTATTTTGATAATGAAAGTAAATATAATAGCTGTCGTTATATAATAAATATGTTTTACACGTAAAATGGATATGTAAAACTTGTTACTACAGTAGAACTTCGTTCGCTCAAAATCGGAGGGCCTGTGTAAATTTGTTCGAGCCAATCGAGGTTGAACTTTTATTACATAGAACATAGACCTAAAATTTTTTCCCAGCTTCCCATGGGTTAAATCAAAAAATACGTAAATACTTTCAAAAAAATTTTGTTTTTTGGGAATTATACTTTTGGGGAAAAATTCATATTAAGAATTATTTTTTCCTTTTAAAAAAACAGAAATTAGCGGTCCCTTGTTTTTTTAACTAAGCAGGGCTTTATTTTAAAAAGTTTTGAGTTCGTTTTGGCCCAAATCATTATCAAAACTGCGAAAAATATTCAAAATATATTTATATGTTTATCATGAGATGAATTTTATTTTAAACAATGAATTAATTTTTTTTATAGAAAATACATTTTACACCAGCATCTATTTGAAGTCATTTAGTACATTTACTAAATAAACACACGTACAAGTGTCATTCTATAAATAGATTACACAGTTACAATTTACGATACATGAACCACGGTAGTAATTAAAGCCGTCCGGGTAAACGGCATTTGCGCATTTTAGGAATATTTTCTTTTTATCGTTACTAAAGACGAGAAATATACAAATTTATCATAACAAACACATCGGTTACAACATCTTTTATTTGTATCAATTAACAACAATTGCCTTTGTCACGATCACGAGGTGATAAAAACATGTGTCGCCGATTTTCAATTATTTAGAATTATTTAGGACATGTCGACCCGCAACTTTTGTTGTCAATTTGTGTTCGATCGAAAATTGCTCGAGAGTTCGAACGATAGGTGTTTGAGTGATCCGAGGTAGAACAAAACATATATAGAAATTTTGCCGGGACTGGGCTAAGGGAGGTATTCGAGCGATTCGAGTTCAAGCGAACGAAGTTTAACTGTATCTTTAGTTATATGTATACATCTATTTAGAAATCAATCGTACTGGTACAGTTGTCCACCTGTTTTAACTGTTGTCTTCATAATAAATGATAATTAGTTCATATTCTAATTGATTGCTTTGCAAATGAAGGGTATACCATCGATTTCTTACTTGACACCCATCATTTTTACATATATTTTCAAATGATAAACATATCAACGACAATTTTTCAGATGGAATAACTCACCATTAATTGTAACTGCAAAGTACCGAAGTAGAACAAATACCATAAGTAAGTATAATCATGATGGTTTTTGTTGTCTGAATTGATTTGTTTTGATAAAAGTTGTTACGAACAAGGCGTAACGAGAAAGAAAAGCCAACAGCAAACATGTAACAATAACAATTTTATTACAGAAAAATTATTAAAGAACAATTTTTGTTTACAAATAACTGAAGTCCAAATAAAAATATAAATCTCAAATTTTTAGTCTGATCCTTGAACGATCCCTTTTTGAACAGCACAGTTAAATCCAAATTAAATTCAAGATCACTTTAGAATAAATTATCACAATAAAATCCACAAAAATAATTTAATCTATTAAAATCCAAGCTCCAATAAATCTGGCACTAATTACTTAATATCCAAGTTGAATAATACTCCAAATGTATTGATGACTTAAAAGGTTACTGGTGACTTTAAAGGGTAACTGATGCCTTAAAAGGTAAAGGTAATGGAAAATGTCCCCTTATATAAATATAAGATGAGAACATTCCAGATCAGTCTCTTATATTCTACAGTTATCATAATCTAGCACCTTCCATTATAAAGAATAATCTGGAAATTTCTATCTAAATATAATGCATGAATCATAATCATAATTTTCTACAACAGTTAAAAAATTTCTTGTACATACATGTAGTTTTTGTTCTAAAAATACAACAATGATACTATTGGAAATACCAACTTGTCAGAAATAAACTATATACAAGTAATATGTTGCATACATAACAATGTCATACAATATATATGAATCAAGAATGCATGGAAAATAGTTCACATATTTGTAATAAATATAGGTCTGTATTATGATAACTGTAATCAAAGCTTACCATAATTATTATGGAAACGCTACTACATTTTAAGAAAACTTATTGTTCGTGTAGATTTCTTTATTCCTAACATAATTTTAATTGCTCTTTATAAGATGAATTTAAACAGGCTATTGCAGTAATGTTAACAAATTGAATATTTTCCAACAGGAACAATCAATTATCATAGTATTGCAAGCAATCCATAAGTCCCCTACCGGTTAGAACCCCAGCAACATTCTGAAGGGCCATTGGCCATTCACTAATGTTTCAATTTTTCTCTATTTTAAGTAAACTTGTTGGAAAAGTTCTTTAAAAGTGATCACAGGAAACAGTTTTTATGAACAGAAAGACAGACGGACTGAAGGACACTCTAAATCTAATATTTAAAACATCCCTGTTACCAAAATATAACATTTTAAAAGCAAAATTCTTAAAGAGGAGATAACTCTTGAATTAAAGATGCAATTTCATAAAAATTTTCAGCTCTTTTTGACTAATTACAAATAGACGGGTTTGATTTTCAGAAAAGACCCTCCGTTAAGAGTCTTACGGCATTTTTTAGTACAAGCAGGTAGTCAATCGTTTTTACATAATTCGGGTACGCTGAATCCATTTTTTGCTCTACCACGGCTGTACTTGAAGTCCATGACCTTCAAAAGGTCAAATCAAAATGGCCGCCATTGTCCTTTAAATCTACTTAAACAATTATTTTTTCTGGTACATATCGTATCGTATTTCCGTTAATCTACATGGAATAAAGTTTCAATTACTTTAAAGAAAAATTGGCTGATAATTATACATGCTTTACACATTGTCTGCTATGCCGGCCATCTTTGATTTCAAAATAGACACCTTTTTAATAAATATAAGTAAAGTGCTTTTAAACAAATGGATCCTTCTGTAGGAATGAGTATCAAAATTGAATAATGATATGAGCAACATGTCATGTCGAAATGTACACACTGTGTAGATATACTGCACACTTTAATTTACATCATTACTTCAAACTATCACAGGTCATTCTTTTTGGACAATTAATCTATATCAGGTATCTGAGATCCAAAATGTCTTACATAAAACCTGCACATTTTAATTTACCATTACATGTTTAAGTAATCTGTATTTTGATAGAATAGCATTTGTGTCAACCTTTATGTACACTAGATCATTTTATAATTTGAATGCAAGGAGTCAAGGTCAGTATGTAAATATTTAAAAATTGCCTGTCATCTTCACAGGTCCGCGACTATGTCTTTGAGCCCGCATGTCTTTGCAACAATATCTTTTGTACGACCCGATTTCAAATAGAAAAAAAACAACAACAACAGAATCCCAAAACAGCGATCAAAACGGCAAAATTGAAAACGTTTTAGGCTCGATTTGATTGAGCCTGTACATGGACGTTACTGGAAATTGCAAAGTACCGTCCAAGCACCCTAGCACCGGCCAAAATTCATATATCAAAGGGGGAAATTGTGAGATTTGGAATTTAGAAACATCCGCAGATGTGTTTATACGATACTTTTTATTGTTGTATTGATATAGCTACTTTATAAAGGGTCGTGTTTATCAATCAAACTTTCAACATGCCTAGACATGGTTAAAAACAGATCATCTATTTATTAATTGAAATAAACTCAAATAAATGGTAAAGTCATTTTAATCTTTATTATCTTTCACCTTGAAAAACGTCTCGCAAACATGAACCATAAACAGTCTACGAGCCTGCACTGTCTTACGGTTAATGAATAATATAGAGTAAAACATTATAGGTCTACCGCGGGTATTTCATGATAGTACATGCATAGAAGATTAGACAGTTAATTGATACCAATTCTGCAATTAATATATTGACGATTCACTGCTGTTTACACTTTTTTATTAACACAGAATGACTTGATAGAGCATTTTGTTTTATTTTGCTACTAAATTATGTAAAATATATGCCGTCGATGCCTATGTCTTTAAATTTTATTTACTTAACTGAAAATACGAGTTTTTCCGTTTTGTCTTAATTCATTGGTATTTATTCATTGTCTTAGTTAATATCAACGTCTACATTATAATTATGTCACTTTGCCAAGGATGCTGCACCTTATTCAATCTCATGTTTTAAAATCATTCAAGTGACTAAGATATATTCAAATCTTCATACTTATTTTGTTCTTGGCTATCTTTCAAGAAATTGATGAGTATCTTATTTCATTATGATATAACATATTTTTGATATCATTTTATCTCATATTTTTTTCAATTTTCACCTCATAAAATTACTTTGGTATTTCTTAGTGTTATTTGAGTCACTAAAATTTGTACCAACTATTTTTGGACTACCCTGACAATTATGTAAAACAAAGATAAACAAGGGCATGCCACTTGAAAGGTCTCCGAAGCTCGGCTCAGTTAAGGATCCATTACCTTTGTTGCTGGGTTGTGTTGGGGCTGCGTTTATTAAATGTCACTTTTCTGTGTTAATCTTCTTTAATTTCCATTTTTTACATTGAAGGCATGGTCACTGTAGTCTTACAAGTTTTACAAACATTAGAAACATTAAGAAGCTTTTATTTATATTATCAGTATTTCTTATTATTTTAAAAAGCATCCATGAATAAATGACAAAGATATAGACACAACCATCAATGTTCTAAATTGACCTATCTAGCTATCAACCTAGTGTTTAAGCATTACAAGTAGTCCTAATTTGCCACAAATTTATGCCTAGTTACGCCAATATCCATCCATTGAATGACAGAATTCATGACCGGACATGACCTTCAAATATTTATATGAAATGAAATATGACCTTTAATGTCTGAAATCTTACTTTATGCGATAATTCTTTTCTCACTCAAGACAAATTGTTTCAAAGTACCACGTATTTATTCTTAGCTCCCGCTGAATAACACATATATGGACTGGACATGGGCCACCCAATTTTGCCACCTTTTCCATATTCATAATTTTTGAAAAATTTGAAAATTTGGGGCCTTTGGGAAACTTTTGTCCGAAACTTTCCCGTCTTTTTATAAAGAGGCGCCATATTTATCCAAAAATGATTTTTAATTCATCCATGAATGACAAAATCGTTAACCAGACTTTTTAGAGACTTTAAGGAAATATTTTGTTCGAAGGGAAAGTATGATTTTTGGTCTTTGATTTACATCATCATCTGGGTTTTACATGTGACTCATTGTCCCAATGTGCCATATATTTATGCATTTTTTTATTATTAATTTATGAATTATTTCAAAAGGCATCAATTAATGAGAAAGTTATAGATCGGACACAAACATCTTGTTACGTTTATATCATGATATAGAAGTTTAGTTTGTAGACATAACCCTGCTTGCTGCTCGTGCATGACACGACCTTTTTCAAATTACACATTTGCGCAAAGTTATTGTCGTTCCAGGACGGTGGCCTATACAATTAACAAGATTTAAATAATTTTACCCGAACTCCGCCTGCTCTAGGCCAATCAAAACAGATAATTTAATATGACATGATAACAAAATAGACGAAAAAAGTCCTAACACAGGGGCCTCAACCACCATGTTCTTGTCGGGTTACATATAAGCAAATGAAATACTATCCTCATGCACGAAGCTCGGCACTAGTATGTAGAGGCTTCTATGGGATAAACCACAGGGACCCAGCACAGTGTTGGGATAGTGTAAAAAAGTAATTCTAAAAAAAAATATATACCTTATATATAATATATAGACAAGGGGTTGAACTCGCCAAATCGGCCGATTGTCACTAGTCCAGTAAAAGTCAAAATAACAAAGTCATTTTTACGTAAATCATATAAAGCTATCAGAAAGCTATTGAAAGAGTTCAACCCCTTGTCTATATATTATATGTAAGGTATATATATTTTTTTTAGAATTACTTTTTTACACTATCCCAACACTGTGCTGGGTCCCTGTGGAATAAACACCATATGGAATATTTCTCGTACAAGAAGAAACTTTAACTCTATTATTCAGGAAAGTAGTCTATTTCATTAAAAAAAAAATATTTTTCGAATGCTAGCCTGGATGGCGATTCCTATAATACTTTTGGAAATACTAAGACTTTTTTTTAAATATCAGGTCGTGCATGAAAAATTGTTGACCGGGTTCCCCACTTATGAACTTTTACAAAACTGCCTTTCTTGATAGACATGACCCTGATCTTTGGACTGTTGAATTGGCT